TCAGCTCGGATTTAGCTCTAATACGACCCCCTTTTTATTATTCCGTTCAGGCCTGATTTAGCTCTAATACGACCCCCTTTATTAATCCGAAGTTGACATTGGGTCTACGGCTTTAGGTTGACACGCTGTTTAATAAAGATATGGCAGCTTTGGTTTCCTGATGTTTCCTGCTTGGGAAAGGTTATTCCAGGCCCTGCATCTAACAGGCCTGAGGCTCCTGTAAAGGGGTCAGGGTTCACACTCCTCAACAACTAACATGTAACTTCTAAAAGGGGCCTGTAAAGCTTATTCAGTTTTTGATAGGGAGAGGGGCTATCCGCGGTTCCATGTTCTTGTGCGGGGGTCTGCGGAATCTTGAGTTGATAATTTCCACAAATAGGTAATTCCCACAAATAGGGAAGCCCCAATATAGACCCCCATCTACTTGATAGTCCCTACTATGGAGATCCCGAAGTGGGGCCCATAATTCTGGGAATTTCCCATTCAGTCGCGCCCAGCCACGAGCTTCAGAATTTCGGCAAAGTATCCTACATTAGACGCTGAGCCCTAAATCCTAAACCCTAAACCTCCAGTCCCGGGCTGCGAGCCAGGAATCATACTGCAGTGGATACTGATACTCAAGATCCTGCGTGACCCGAAATACCTTATACTTCTGGAACTGCGATTCAAGCAAAAAGGGTGATAGTACTATAGTATAGTAAGATTGTGCAGGAATTGCTCAACAGCAGAACTCCTTAGCCGCCCTCCAACCTGTATCAAGGTCCGATTCTTTTGGGTTTCCCGGGTTACATATGGTAATTTTTTGGGGTTTTACTTGGAGGTGCGTGGAAGTTGCAAATGGTTAATCCTACCTAGACCTCCCAGGCACCCATAACTATCTAAATTATAGTCACCATCATTATTCTGTATCTGGGCGGTGTAGGTAAACCCTAAAAGAGCCCTCAGGGGCTACTAGCACCCGTACCCTCCAAGTAGATGGGCCCTCAAGCCTTCATCCAGAAACCTTGTCTTAGGCAAAACCTACTGAGACTAGGTAAGCCCTAGATCCAAGCCCTGAACCCCAGACCATCCTAAACCTTAAACCCCGAAACCCCCAAACCTTAACCCCCAAACCCTCTTAAACCCTAAAACCCGAAACCTTAACCCCACCTACCTGCGTAGACCCTAAACCTTAAACCCTAAACCCTAAACCCTAATCCCCTACACCTTATATAACCCCATTATAGTAGTTTCCATTTTCTTTTCCATTATCCCTATAGAACCCCAATATACTATACCCTTTATAATCCCCAAAATCCCTATAATCCCTGTAGTTTCTGTTTTATTTTCCATTATCCCGAATATAACCCCAATATAACCCCTACTTAAGGTCGATAGTCCCTAAACCCTTAAACCCTAAATCCCCATATTCTACCTACTTGAGGGGGACTGTACTTTGACCTCATCCCAAACCCCACACCCTAAACCCTAAACCTTAAACCCTAAACCCTAAAGAAACATCCCAACCCAAGGCCAACCAGCCAATCGATGCTCAGCTTCGAGGTCGGAGCTGAGGGTTTGGATCCTAGAACTCTTACGCTCTAGGAGGGTTTAGGGTTTAGGGTTTAGAGGTTAAGACGCTCTATAGGGTTTAGGGCAATATAGTAATATAGGGGGAATAGAGTATTATTGGGGTTATATGGGGATAATGAAAAAGAAAATGGAAACTACTATCATAGTATCTTGGGTTTTATAGGGTTATAACTCTCACGCTTTAGGGTTTAGGGTTTAGGGTTTAGAGTTTACAGTTTTATAGGGTTTAGGGCAATATAGTAATATAGGGGGAATATACGGGTTATATAGGTATAATGGAAAAGCAAATGGAAACTACTTAGGGTTTAAGGTTTAGAGGTTGATTTTTAGGGTTTAAGGTCTAGAGTTTAAGTTTTAGGATGTAAGGTTTAGAGGTTGATTTTTAGGGTTGAAGGTTTAGAGGTTAAGTTTTAGGGTTTAGGGTTTAGACTTCAAGTTTTAGGGTTTAAGGTTTAGAGTTTAAGCTTTGGGGTTTAAGGTTTAGAGGTTGATGTTTAGGGTCTAGGGTTTAGAGGTTAATTGTTATGGTTTAAGCTTTAGAGGTTGGTTTTTAGGTGTAGGCTTTAAGCTCTAAGGTTTAAGGTTTGGACGTTAAGTTTTAGGGTTTTAGGTTTAGAGGTTAAGTTTTAGGATTTAAGGTTTAGAGTTATAGGGTTTAATAGACTTGAAGTTTTAGGGTTTAAGGTTTGGAGTTTAAGTTTAGGGTCTAAGGTTTAGAGGTTAAGTTTTAGGGTTTAAGGTCTAGAGTTTGAGTTTTAGGGTTTAAGGTTAGGGGTTGATGTTTAGGGTTTGGAGGTTAAGTTTTAGGGTTGAGAGGTTAAGTTGTAGGGTTTAAGATTTAGAGGTTGATTTTTAGGGTTTAATGTTTAGAGTTAAGTTTTTGGGTTTAAGGCTTAGAGGTTGATGTTTAGGGTTTTAGGTTTAGAGGTTGAGTTTTAGGATTTATGGTTTAGAGGTTGATGTTTAGGGTTCAAGGTTTAGACGTTAAGTTTTAGGGTTTAAGGTTTAGAGCTTAAGTTTTAGGTTTTTTAGGTTTAGAGGTTTAGATTTGGGGGTTTAACGTTTAGAGTCTGAGTTTTAGGGTTTTAAGGTTTAGAGGTTGATGTTGAGGGTTTTAGGTTTAGAGGTTAAGTTTTAGGATTTACGGTTGAGAGGTTGATGTTTAGGGTTCAAGGTTTAGACGTTAAGTTTTAGGATTTAAGGTTTAGAGCTTAAGTTTTAGGGTATAAGGTTTAGAGGTTTAGATTTGAGGGTTTAAGGTTTAGAGTCTGAATTTCAGGGTTTAAGGTTTAGAGGTTAAGTTTTACGATTTACGGTTTAGATGTTGATGTTTAGGGTTTAAAGTTTAGAGTTTAAGTTTTTAGGGCTTAAGGTATGGATTGTAAGTTTTAGGGTTTAAGGTTTAGGGTCTTAGGGTTCAGGGTTCACGGTCTATGGTTTAAGGTTTAGGGTTTAGAGCTTAGGGTTTAGGGTTTGGGGTAGAGACGTAAACATGGACAGGGTTGGTCCCTCTTGTAGTAGTATTGTTCCTACTAATATATTCCTGAATAGGAACCCATGAGCATTATCTATATCGGAAATACTGACTGTAGCTCATAGAGTGTTACATAGGGGAATCGCATGTTAAGCTACAGTTCTGTATTGGGGTTTTGGACCCTAAACCCCCAACCCTAAACCCCTAACCCTAAACCCATAACCCGTAACCTCAAACCCTAAACCCTGAACCCAAAGAAACCCTGAATGTGAAGGTTTACGGCCCAGGAAATGAGATGCATGAAATGATGGAAATGAAAGGGCATGGACATTGGGTTCAAAGGTCTTAAGAGATTGTAGTGCAGGGCCTACATAATAGAAGCAATACAAGGTCCTGGGCTATAGTCTGGTGCGATGATGTAAGGCGTATACGTGCAAATGTAGGTAACTAGTTAGGCTTCTACGCCAGCCTTTCCAAAAGGAGGGTCTAGGCTTTTGCGCAAAGGGTGCTTCAGAGGTAGGGGAGTGAATCCATGATATTCTTACCCGCAACCCTAAACTAGGTTGCTATTAAGGAAATTAAATTGAGGTATCATAGTATGTATACAGTAATTAATACAGTTTCCTCAACGTAGTAACTGAAGATAAGTTCCTTAACAGCAACCCAGTAGATCCTGAACCGTAAGCCCGGTATAGTTCTTCCTTTAAAGAACCGGATTCGCACTCCTTCGGTGGGCAAGTAGGGTGAGGAATCCATGGGCCCATCTGGGGCGCCGCTTCCAGAGTAGTCAGAACTCCAGCTTTGTGTAGGAAGCTTGGCAAGTGTATTAGGGCTCAAAATCCTAAACCCCAAACCCCTAGAGCCTTATCGTCCCCCTTAAGTAGATAGAATATGGCTTGGGTATGTTATAAAAAAAAAGATCCCCATATATCCCATATTCTATCTGCTTAAGGGGAACTATACGTCTTATTTAGGGTTTAAAAGGGGGCCTGGAGAATGAGAGGCATTCCTTTTCAATCCTTGCACGCTGATTACACTATCATCCAGCGCAGAACCTATACTGACACCAAATGCTCATTTCCAGTTACAAAAGGTTATAGAGCCTTCCACATGCTCTCTTTCTGCCTAAGAGATCATATTTCGGTCAGGAGACAAACGACCTCCACCTTATGATGCAAGAGGAGCTTGCCTTTGCCAGCGAGGCTTTGCCAGAAGGGTCGTCGCATTTTGATGGCTTAAGCCCAGAGTGCTCACGCACGCAGTAGCGGTTGCCGCATCCGATTTGAGCCATATTCGGAGCCGCTAAGGGTCCTCTTAATTAGTCGCTGAGTGGACAAAGTTTTTTTGATATCTACATATGTAATAAGGGGTGCACTGTGACGAAAGCACACCCGGTGTTTGGTTGCTGCGGTCACATGCGAGGCTTCGGCGACATGTGCCAACCCCTAGGAACCAGCAAGGTCAAAGGCAAGTCGAGTTCTTTTCCTCTATTGTTGGCATCCGCAAGAAGAAGAATAGCTGTCGTCTCCAATAGCTCATGACCAATATGATGCTAAGTGGGCACATTTTAGCGTGAGGGTTGTCCGGCCAGAGCTACCCCAGACACGTTCCATTCTCACTGACAAAAACACCGGCACCAGTCGAAAGGCTCAAGCTTTTTGAATAGTGTTTGAAAAGTTTGGAACAGAACTTAAATTCTTAGCTAACGGAAGCCCCAGGAGGTTCTTGAAGTGTCTCACATAGTCCGCACTACAAGAGTTTAGTCATTGCGCCCCTTTCGCGGGAGGTAGAGACAGCAGTGGATTCCCTGCACCCGGACCACCACCACCCCTAAATACACCCAGCAAAGTTTGAACAGGCCATACTTAGGCCTCGCTCTGAGCACTTGGTAACCGTAAACCCTAAGCCTGTAGAGTTTAGGGAAAAGGGTTGAAGTTTCAGAGGTATTGAATAAGTCCCCATCCCCAAACATTAGATCCTCAGACCCTAAACGGCGATCGGGATGCTATCTTCAGAGCCTGAATACCTACCAGGGCTATTACTCCTCTTTATTTCTGGCATAACTGTAAGACAATCTGCCCAGTCGCTATTTCAGTTACTTCGGCCCCTACACGGACACGGAGTTTCCAGAAGTTACAGTAGGGGTATGCCCTATAAACCCCCAAATCACCATAATCCTTCTTCAAGGGGCTCCCCCAAAAGGGTCCATGTTCTTGGAACTTCCGAAGACGTCCTCCACTCATAGCATGTCAGCCGGTGAAGGTGTACGGGCCGAAAGTCGACGTCCCAGAGGATGAGGACACTTTGAGATTTGGGGCTTAGGGTTTTAGGGTTTAGTGTTTAGGGTTTTAGGGTTTAGGGTTTTAGGGTTTAGGGGCTAGCGGTTTAGGGGTTGGGGTTTAGGGGTTTAGGGTTTTAGGGTGTAGAGTTTAGGGGTCAGGGTCTAGAGATTTTGGAAGAACGGAGAATCAACGGGTCAAAGGGCACTTGGTTGTATTGATTTGGGCAACCCCAACCCCCCCAAACTATGAACCTGTTATAGTCATATGCCTCTGATCATCTTTGGGTACAGGTAGGGCCCTCTCGTCATGAGTTGGGGTATACGTGGGTTGTTGTGGAACTGAATATCGTCAGGAGCAACATGCGTTGGAGCTATGATGCTCAGTACTAAAGTTATGTAAGTAGGTGGCCTCACCCTGTATGTCCTCCAACAAACTTGCGTGCAACCCGAATCGGCGAAGACTCTCCAGGTGCCCTAAGTACCCGTGCGGAAGGTAAGCTTTGACCTTGGCAGATGAGGAATTACAGCCCAATATAAGCCAAACGTTTGACGGTGGGAAAGTCTTAGATATTGTTCCTGGCCCAGTAAGCCCGCATGAGGTTCCATGCTCTGCTAGCTTAGGACGCTGCATGCCCCATGGACTTATGTGCTGAGATCTTGGCTGCGGGCTACATGTCTCCACGTTTGCGATCTCGAAGTCATACGTTGAAAGCTGAGGCTCTGACGTACTGCTTTCTCGTCTTTTGGAAGCCGCAAAAAGAAGCCGGAAAACATACGGCGGAGATTGAGTGTCGCAGTTTCCAGAAGTAGGCGCGCCCGCCCCCATCACCATCCCAATCTGTTAGAATTCTTATTCGAGCGACCACCTGAAAGGGCGCCCCCCCAACATGACTCCTAAAAGGGGATAATATAGGGATTATATAGGGGACTACTATAGGGTTATGAAGGGGGATGCTAGGAGTTTAGACGGTAGCTCATGTATCGAAGCCTCCATCACTGAATGCCTCGTTTGATGCTTTCATTCCTTCGCCGATCACTTCTATAGTGGATTCAGAAGTTCATCTTGGTGTCCGAATGGAGCAATCAGCATCGAGGGCTGCGCTTGCCCCCTTAAATGCACTCAAGTTGCAGGACCCGAGGAGAAGCACACTGGAAGTTTCTTAAGAAGCCCTACGCAATGCGCGCGAACGCTCCCACAATGTTTTTTGCAATGCCCACATCCCTAGAAGTCGCCAGGGTGCACTAGTTGGAGATTGTTCCTGATAATATGGTAGTTTCCCTAAATAGAGGGAGCGCAATGTAGACCCCAAAATACTACGGTCCTCATTATAGGGACCCCCCAAGAAGGTACCGCTAATTTTGGGAGACTCCATATTTCCCTGCAGATCCCTCAAGTCTTCCTTGCTTCGTCTCAGCATTGCAGACTAAGCAGGACGAGGAGGACGACGACGATGGGCCTAAAGTCTTAGACTGGATGAAGGCACCTTGTCCTTGGACAACACAAGCTGCTCTTGGTCTAGGAGTGGCGTGCCTATGCCCCATAGCCATCCAAGATTTATCAACATAGATTCCTTTCAAGCAACGCCCACGTTGACCGGTACGTGGGAATACGGAGCCCGATCTCTGGGAGCTCGTTTCTGGGTAAAGAGGAGGCAGACCAACCCACGTTACGAGGACATGGGAACCCCGTGAAGTCCCGGAGCCATAAAAAATGCTAAATTCTGAACCGTTAGTAGGGACCTCTGCCAATCCTGTCAGAGAGATTCCATGCTGCAGAAGCATTGAGCAACTGGTATTGCAGTTGCGATTAAATCTAATTATACAAACAACCTTTGATCAGTTATTGCAGGCCAATCGAATTGCAGCACCTCATTTGAGCCAAAGTCCAAACTCCTTAAAGGGGGTTGTATAGGGAATTTTATAGGGGACTTCTACAGGGGCTACTTAAAGGGGACATTAGGAGTTTAGACAATAGCTCATAGATTCCTCCTGCGAACCACGACGCCACTATGAGAGCCTGGAAAATTCAAGGCGAGGGAGGCATCACCGCTTCTGGCAGAGTCTCTGCGACAGATGCCTCGGACTTTTCTGGCATCCTGGACGGCAGCGGCCAATTCAGGGTTACTAGTGTTTAGGGTTTGATTAGGGTTTAGGCTTTAGGGTCCTAGGGTTTAGGAATTTCCAGGAAGCCCCATAGCTCTTAATTAAGGGTTATTTTGGGGTTAGATTGGGATAATGGAAAAGAAAATGGAAACTAGTGTTTAGGGTTTAGGGTTTATACGGGGTTATACTCAGGGTGCCCAATACCCCTCAATTGAGGAGTATAGCTTGAACCATGTAAGGGATCCTAGTACCATTTAGGGTATATTCCTTGATTAAGGGGTATTGGGCTCTCTGGATTTTTGTTGAAATTCTGGGACGCCCTAGACATGGCTTCTGTTGTTCGACGACAGGGTTGTAAAGGTGGAAAAGCGGTCTGTATTCATATAGCGTAAAGACTTGCGTGAAACTACTAGAAGCTCCTCGGCAAGAACCTTGTGTATTTCCGTGAACCTGAACTCTTTCACGACATGGAAGTGGTAAGGTCTTCCGCAACCCTGTACTTTCAAGGCCTATGTTGCTAGCGACCTCAAGCACACAATGGAGTTCTTCGCATGACGACAAATCCAAGACCCTATACCTGAAACCTGCTGAAGCCTAGGTTCTGACTGCATCCTAAAGGGCTCTAAATTGGTTTAGCGTTTAGGGTTTAGGGTTTTCCTTCCGGAGCAGCTACTCCCCAAAAAGCCTACTCCAATGGTTGGGACCCCTGTATTTGAAGCATTAACCCTAATCATCAGGCCTATGGACCCTAAGCCCCCAGCCGTCCAAGGCCTTCAGCCTCAAACGTATCACTAGGGCCTTCAGGGTACTCATTTTTTGAGAAATAGATACTAATTTCTAAGCCCTATGTACCCTTCGGCGCCCGGTTTCCAGTAATACCCAGACACCCCAAAACTCCCTCAAGTAAGGAATGACATTAGATTCCAATTATGATTGGCTACTGGGCTCCTCAGGCACCTCCCCTACTAATTAACAACCCTAAACCCAAACAACCCTTCAACCACCATGGCAGTTTCTGTTTTCTTGTCCAACTCCTCCATTCCCGACCGAGACACCTAAACCCAAAGTGCCTTCATACCCTAAAGCGCTTCAAACCGTAAATTGCATGATAGTTTCCGCTTTTTATCCGCTGCCAACCTATGACCTTATATGCAGGGATACTGATAGGGATCCTCCCCGCGAAGCCGAAGATACGGTTTAGGGTTATCCCTGTACAAGGATTACAGGGACCCTCCTGCTCAAGAAGCAGCAGGTTTAAAATTGTTGGAATGTGGACTCCTAGCAGGAGTATGATATGAATATACCTTGCAGGGTCCACATATCCCTCTTATATTCCTACTATATTCTTGGGGTTTCCGGTTCGGGGTGTCCATCTCAGCCGCTTGAAAAATTTGAAATCAGGCGTATGCCGCTGACGACCTCCTGGCTCCAGACTGCCGCAGTTTCTGGATCAGTTTAGGGTTTAGGGTTTAGAGTTAGGGGGCTTGAAGATTTAGGGTTTGGCGGGCATGAATGGGCACCCCAAAGCAGGTTACTCCAAGAATATAGTAGGAATATAATAGGAACATACCCACCAGACTTACCAGGGTCTTTATATTTTTATGGCTTCATTATTGTTACTTTGAGGTTGGGCTTTGGGGCTTGGGGTTAAGGATTGTTGGTATACCAAAGACGCTGAAAATAGAAAGCAATGATCAACAATGTATCAAATTCTAAGAAGATGTCGATTGCATTTTTCATACTAAAGCCTAATAAGAGATGAATAGTTATCATTCTGAGTATTACCGTCCAAGAAGCAAAACGTGACTTCTCCGCTAACCCCTTATACTAACCGCCTAGGTTCCCCAATAGATTACATGCATTTCAGGACAATTCGGTTTAATAAAGGTTAAGTAAGGACACCCAAGCCCAACAGTCAATCCAAACCCTACAACAAGCCCTGACTTCTATCAGACCCCATATGAGCTATAGTCTAAACTCCTAGTATCCCCCTTAATCTCCCCTATAGTAGTCCCCTATATTACCCCCTATATGATCCCCCGTTAAGGAGTTTAGACTATAGCTCATATACCCCTCATATCCCCCTTCTATGATGAATCCTAGGCCCTAGACCCCTAAACGATGTTTACCCTAAACCTTAAACCCTAAACGATAAACTTTAAGACTTTGAATCTTAAGCCTAAACCCTAAGCCCTAAACTCTAAAATTAAAACACCCTAAATCTTAAACCCTAAACCTTTTTCCCAAAACCCTAAACTTTGAAATTAAAAATCCCAAGCACTGAATCTGAAACCTTAATGAACCAGGTTTCGCGGCGCGGCTCAGGACTGAGGTCGGCGGTGAGGCTTGCATTTTCCCTCAGCGTTGGGATATACAGAGGCTAAGGGTTTATGGGCTTAGGGTTTACGGGTTCAGGCACACTCGGGGATGTAAGGGTATACATGGATATACAGGAATATATACGGGTATACGGGGGTATATAGGTATGTAGGGTTTAGGGGTGTTTTTTCTCAAGCTTTTGTTGACCTTATTGGCATTTTGGGGGCTTGTGGATTCCAAACTGGCCTGACTCTCAAAGGTCGGGTTCTATGGCTTCGGAAATTAGAGAGACATTCGTGTGGCTGGCATTGACGGATGCAAGCCCCATCCACCTAGTGACGCCAATTCAATTTCCAGATGTCTTTGCATTTGTTTAGCAATTGTCTTTCAAGTGCTACACCCCAAACCGCTAAATACCAAGCCCCCTACACCCTAGCCCCCTAAACCTCCAAACCCTACACCTTAAACTTCTTAACTCTATGCAACACCCATGTCACCCTATAGAATCCCGACATAACCCTACATAATCCGCCTAAGATCGTCACACAATGTCATGTAACTTGGGATGCCTATATATAACCCTCAATACCCTTCAACCCGAACCCTAATTGCTAAACCCTAGCCCCTAAATCGCTAAATCCTAAACCCTAATCCCCAAACCGTAAATCCCCAAACCCTCATCCCCAAACCCTTAAGCCCCTAAAATCCCACAGCAGGCGGTGCATGAGCTCGAGCTGCCAGCCCCATTGGGGCCAGGCTTTGCCAAGGCTTTCGGGATTTTACTATATCGGTGTTATATAGGGATAATGGGAATGTTGGGGATTATATTGGGGATTGTAGACGGGTTATATATAGGGCTTAATGATTAATGGAAAACAAAATGGAAACTGCTATTTAGGGTTCAGGGTTCGGGGTTTAGGGGTGTAACTCAGGTTGTGTAAGGTTTATATTGCATTTTATGATGGGTTTTAGGGGGACTAGGTCGGGATGTATGGGGTTTCAGAGGGATTTCAAGGATTTTAACGGGGGTATGTGGGGCGTATAGTGCTTTAGGATTTAGAGGTTTATTTAAGGTTCAGGGGTTGGGCTTCTAGGGTTTGGGGATTACGGATGTAAGGGTTTAGGCGTTGATGCCTAGGGTTTTGGAGGGCATTTGAAAGAAAAAGAGGTTGATGCTTGTACTTCAATATGCGATCAAGGGTCTAGGGATGTCTAGGGTTTCAGGACATGTCTTTTATGCAAAAGGTGGTTCCAAAAAGCATGGGTCTTCTTGAAGGTTTTTGGGTGGTGTTTCGTACATGCAAAGGACAAACTAAGGGTTTGTTCTGGGGCGCCCCTACAGCAAGAAGTTCAACGTTTGGGGTATTTATGGGAACCCTCTTTTGAGAATATCCACCTACGGATGTCGGCTTTGCGTTGTGCGATTAAGCGGCCTGCTTGAAGAACGAAAGCTTGCTTTTGTTTGTGGACTTCGGTCTTTCTGTGTTTAGGTTAAGGGACGCGCGTTGCATGAAATCTTGCACGAGTGCCTCAAACTCGGGTCTCGTGCTTAGGGCGAGGGAGAAATCCTGCAGAAGTCTCAATCGGGAGCTCCTAGTCCTATCCCCTTTAACCCTTTGTGAGGTAAGGTGCTCATCGTGGTCTTGTCCTGTCTATATTATAGGACTCCTCAGCTCATCCCTTGAGCAAGCATGGAACCCCACAGGGACCCCTATTGCAGGGCTGTAGCCTTTATCGGGCTTCGTTTGGGCTCGTACCCCTGGATCCTAAACTGCACGCACCCTAAGGCCTCCCCAACCTCCAATAGGGTTGAGCTAAGAGTTATGTTATGCTGATTTCTGGGTAGTTAGGGTGGGAGTAGCAATAATTATGGGACACTGTGAGGGTAAGCAGTGTGAATACCGCAGCATTCTGGCCCAAGCCAGATTTGAAATTTGAGACCGAACACTCCCGGTATCTTAGACTTACCCTCGTCAGCCGAGAAACCATGGCGGCAGTCTACAGGGCCTCCGGTCAGGAATTACCTGCAACTCTAGTTAGTGCTATAGCTTCGTAGCATCTATCCCCTGATCCCGTAAAACTGTAGGTAGTTGGTGCTACAGGCAGGTATAGAGGATATTTGCGTTTACGGTTTCGGGTTTCGGGCTTCGCAAAAAAGGAGCCCTCGGGTATTATACGGATGACAAAAGAAGAGTGCATCTTTATCTAACAGGTTTCGATGAGGTATTGTTTGAGAACCTCCCATATATATATATACATGGACACGAACAGTGTGTAATATGGGAGCATGAGAATCCTAATCCTTTTGCAAGCATGGTTAGGGCTTTAGAGGGCTCTGTGGTTCCAGCTTGAACCGGATCATACTGACTAGGGGTGCGCAGAGAGCTCGTACGTTGAATGGTTTAGCCTATCTAACAGGTAGGCATGGTAGCATACGGTGGCTTCTTTGGTGTATGGCGACCTTCAACAACTGAAGGATCTTGCTGAAGCCCTACACGCTAAACCCTCAAATCCTGCTTTGCCTGAACTCCACTACGAAGCAAAAACAGCAGAACTCTCGTCTCCAAACCTTCACGGGGAAGATTGGGGAAAGACCCCAGAAAGCTCATACATGCAGTTCCTTTGTTGTCCGTTTTCCATGCGCTGTTTGCGAAAGCTGGTGTCGTGTAGTCCGATGCCACCCAGACCATACAATTTGTACCACAAAAGTTCAAACATATCTTTGGGGTTCGCATTTATGAGAGCCCCCCCTTGCTTTCTACGAGGTCCTTAAGTTGGGCGGCGTGCTTGAAGAGGGACACTTTTTCCTAGCACTGGCACTAACCCCCCCCTGGCTTGAACTCACGCTTTTTGAAGACGTTGTTCTTGTTTGTTTTTTTCATGCCCAGCCAAGGTTTCCATATTCATGACCACCATTGTTTTGGGGAGCGCCATATTCAAGAAGGGCTCAAAGCAGTTGGCTGCTTTCGAGCAGGGAGGCGCAAACTCCAATGCCTCCTTCGGACTCCTTGAGTCAGGTACCTTGGGGCAAAATGCAACCTCGAGGAACATTCCCAAAGTATGAGCCAGTATAATCCCACAGTGTCATATCACGTCTGCATTCCGGAGATCACTAGCTTTACAAATGGCCCCAAGCTAGCCTTGCTTCAGGCTTTTGAATTACCCCCTGCGCCCAAAACAGCCGTCATGAAGACCTCCCTCTGTTTTTTTGAGCGTGGGTTATATATTGTCCATGCTGCAACCTTACGCCCTTGGGGGTTTGGGGCTAGCCGGGGGTGCCAGAATTTGAGAAAAAGAACAGGTGAAGCATGTTCACGAACAACGTTAACAGTTCTACGGATGATGCCTACTAATTGGGGGGCCAGGACTTACAAAACTAAACCCTAAACCCTAACCCTAAACCCTAAACTGTACACAACTGGGATGAAAGGCACAGCTGCGACCCCTGCTACCCCAGCCCTGTTGGCTGCAGAGCCGGTGAAGCTTGGGGCAAATTGAGACCAAAGGCATACGGTTTAGGGTTTAGGGTCATACCTGTAACCCCCATTACCTACAGTTGAATGGGTATACCTGCCATTTGGAGGGTAGTTCCTTCTAAGCTGTAGGTACAGGCAGGGTTAAAAATGGACGAGAATTCCAGTATTTGGCGCGCACGTGGATTGTTCAACACTCTTGAAATCCTCGTTGTAGAACTTGAAAAGGTAATCCCTATTATCAGTCACGTTCTACTCGGAGTAACATGCAGCCTGGTGTCCCTTGTGATCATCCTCATTTTTCCCCGGGCACAGACGTGAGCCAGGTGTTCCAAAGCATTGCGCCATTGTACGAATGTTCCATTAGAAGGCCCCCCCGATTTTGCAAGCTGCAGCTAGGAATTCGCAGGCGGGCAGTTTCTTTCTCTGACGCCACCTCCAAAATGCCCATCAAATGTTTCCACCTGGACCCTTGGGTTGTACCACGGCTGTTGGATCCTTTTGTCGCCACTGTACAGTAGAGCATTCCTGGAAGGAATATGACAGAGACCACCATGTAACTGGACGACCCTAAACGCTGCTGAACGCTAGGAAGTGGCTACATATTCCCAAAGCCGGGACTTCCTTTCTGAATGTCGTCATCCACCTGCCAGGCTTGAAAGGGGTTCGTCTCAAACATTCGGGTCCCGGCTGTCGTCAACATTGTCATGCATACTTCATCACGACTAGTCTTTCATGCCTTTGTATTCCTGTGTGAACATGGTATAACATACACCAAAACTGAATTCTCATCATTTAGGTACAGGGCTTAGGGTGGTTTAGGAGTAAACTTTGTATGTTGGAGTAGGTTTTGGTGCTAGAAATCGAACATGAAGACAGCCCAGTGGCTCAGAGTTTTTGTCTAGAGTTTGGTTTAGGGATGCCTTCATATAGTGCATAGTAAGGGTCCTTACTGGCCCTGTACATGCCTAGGTCCCTAGGGGTTCCCTTTTTGGAGAAATACCTAAAATACATACAAATATGTATATATATATATATGAGCCCTAGTCTAAACTCCTAGTATCCCCCTTAATAAGCCCAATAGTAGTCCCCTATATTATCCCCTATATAACCCCTTTTAAGGAGTTTAGACCACAGCTCATATATACAAATATATATATACACATATATGATGTGGATTACGTAGGGGTATTTACACTCACTCACTCCAACCTCAGTCTGAAACATCAGTAAGTCTGGGGTTGAAGTTGTCATGGGAGCCCAAACATGTAGCTGTTAAGGGTTTAGGGCTGGGTTTAGGGTTTAGGGTTTAGTAGGAACATAATAGGAATATAGTCCCCCTTAAGTAGATAGAATATGGGGTATATAAGGATTTTATCTTAATATCTACTTAAGGGAGACTATATACTGACCAGGGTCCTTCTATTCCTACCATCTTCCTACTATATTGTTTGGGTTCCCTGTTTTGGCATCACAATTTTAGTCCTTTTTTTGGAAGTGCGGAAAAACAGAGAGGATGGGCCTGAACAAACCTGGGTTGCTGTTAAGGAGCTTAATTAAGTTACCATAGTTGGGTATATGGTGAAAAATAGGGGTTCCTTAAAGTAACATAAACAAAGTTCCTAACAGCAACCCAGTAAAACCTGGGGTAAGAAAAGTCCATGGTCCGTAGCCCACTTTTTCATGACAAGTCAAAGGATGCAATTTCTGACGCAAGAACGGGCCCTCTATGTTTGGGTTTCAGTTCAGGGTCTAGGGCCCCTTGAGTTGGAAAATCCGGAATATGATTGCTTTAGGCTTTAGGGATTAGGGTCGGCTATCAGCATCACATGCCCGAATAGTCGCGAGGCCGTTGCAGAAAACGCGTCCCAGGGCCTGCCTGAGCGTAAGAGGAGTCCTCCTGATAAGTAGAATCCCCAAAGTGACCTATGTACCACTTTTAAGATGTCCCCGCCCTCTCCTTGCAGGAGGGGCAAAGGCCAAAACATCTAGCTCCCACCCTTCCCCTCTAGATAGTACATCCCAATGAAAGCTTGACATGAGAGTTTCTCAACGTGATGGGGGGGGACTCTGTGCATTCAAAGGCCCTAAACCGTTAAACCCGGATCTGTAAACCACTGGCCCTATACATCCTTAACCGTAACCCCAACCCTAAGGGTCCAAGGACCCAAATGATAGGATTTTACTATACTATTAATGGTATTTGGGCCCTAAAACCCTATTATTTGGGTCCTTGGACCCTTAGCCCCAAGAACAGCCTAAAGCTCAAAGTCGACTGAAGATTGCCAAGCTGC